TCTAATTTGTTGTGAATTTCAATCAGTATCATTAATTAAATAATTGTATAAGACATCACTAGTAAACCCTAAAAAATGAAATCAATCATATAAATATAATAATATGTTATAATTATTAATATATCATTTCTGATAATTTAATTCTCTCAATGCTACTTAAGTGCCAATAGTTTCAATACAATTACACAGGCACAACACCTTTGAATGTTTGGGTTAAAAGAAATGAAAAAAAATAAATGACCAATCAAATTATTAAACCTTATTTAAAAAAATTTTCTTTTTCTCCCTTTCATTCTCCTTAACTCCCAAACATACCGTACAGATCTTATTTATTTATTTATTTGGTAGAAACATACCGTACAAATTGAACCCTGCTAACGACCTATTTGGATCAACTCTTAAAAGCTTTAGTTTTTAGATACTATTTATATTTAATGAATTAAAATTTTTTTTTTTAAATCTACACTTTTAAATATTTTTTTAATTTCAAAAAATTCTTAAACAATAAAAATTCAAAAGTTTCAAATCCAAACTTTTCATAAACTCTTTTTTTACTTACTTTTCATTCACTTTTTCACCTTTATAAAAACTAAAACTCTATTTTCCCTCCAATAAAAATTTAAGCTTATCACTCATAATAATACTAAAAAAACAAAAACTCTCACAAATCACACCAAACAGACTCTAAGCGCCTCTTTTGGACGGAACCATACGCCCATCCATGCGATTAATTGGACCAACATACGACGATATCCACAAAAATTTATAACTAAAAGCCAAATTAAAAATTCAGATCTACAAACTTAACAAAATTTTAAGAAAAAAATGATATAGGAAAATATATATTACTACGCTTTATCTTAATTTAATTTTGTTAAATTTTATATAGCCGAAACCTGTGAATATTTTCTTTAGCTCCCAAACCCTAGAACTACTTATTAAGCTTCTGCTTTATGACTTTTCCACCAAAGGGATGATAAGCAAAGCACAGAATACAGATCATCCCATTACAAATTATCCCAATTCAGGAATAAAGATTACATGGAACTAGTAATATCATCTGAAAACATGAATGGCAATGAAATTATCTACAGTACACATGTTTGATGGAATCAAAAAAGAAAGGAGTAAATATCGATAAGAGGAAAAATTTTCAACATTGAGCCTTTTAGCTCAAGAATTTCTAAGAGCTGCCGACCGCTTCTCGAGCTCATTGACACCCGAACTGCAAGTAGAACCCAGAAGTTATAAAAGAAATAATAAAAGATTAGGGGAGAATTAGTGAAAAACAAGGATTAGAATTGGTATGACATGCGTAGGTCCCCCATATACAACAAATATGATTGCAATTTAACAAATCTAATGAGGGAACGGGCCAAGTATATGTATAATGGCAGAAGAGGAGAAAATAACAGTTCATAAAACGTAAGTTGTACATTTTTGTGAATAATTAAATGTCTTGTTGGGTTGTGAAAGTTACAAAGAAAAATGTGGAAGACAATGAAATACAGAGGCAAGACAGAAGATTACCTGCCAACATCCTCAGCTTTCTTCCCTGCAATCCTACCTTTTGGAGCTGCTGACAACTGCCAAGATTCAAGCACAATTCACAGAGTTAGGCATAGCAAACAACTACAAGCTTTAAGAAAATAAAAACAAAATAAATGCCAAAATGAAAGGGAAAAAGTGATCTATTACTGACCTGTGATGCAACATCCACACCAATTTCATCTAGAACCTGGCCAAAGATGAAAGTATATTGCCATCAGTTCATTTGAAGTAAAAAATTTCATAGAATAATATCTTACTATTGTGCAACACCAAGCAAAGACAAAACCACATAGAAGCAGCTAAATCCATCCATTCTTCTCTGCTAATCTATACACTTCTCTCCTTGGGCAAGGGGGAGCCCGCAAGTCCGTACACACATTAAGTAAATTGGCAATCATGGTATATGCTACTGAATTTAGAAGAGGGTTCAACTTTCAGCAAAGAAAAAGGAACAGAAAATAAAAGTAAGGAGAAAAGAAAGGAAGAAAAAATGAAGATAAAAGAAAAGAAGAAGCACACCATGCACACACAAGTATACAAAAGAAAGGGAAAGGACACAAAAGGAAAATGACAGAGCAGGAAGAGATGATGAGGCATGGAAACAAACACCTACCTGATTAGTTAGCTCTTCAGTCTCTTCTTCAGCCTCATCATTATCCAAGGCATCATCTATGGCATCAGATATCATTTCACTCTGGATGCATGGGAACCAGATTGGTAAGTTCCGGAGATATGTACTCAAGAACAATGTTAACATCTTTACACATTAAGATATTCTTAGGAAAAAGCAGAAGCAAGCATGATCTTACAGTCATGTCCATCTGTGCTGTCTGTTTCTGAAATTCACGTATAACTGTCGCTTGCTGTGTAGGGTTCATTTGCTGCAAAGAAATATTAAGAGTCAAGGACAATCCTATCTAAAGAAATCAACTTTTCCCACATAAAGCAGAAGCTGAACAAATTGATTGCAGGAGAAAATGGCATATAATATTCACATCAATGTGTGGATAAAAGGAAAATTTGCATGTTATTCACCTTGTTCATTGCCGCCATAGCCTTGCTAGCACCTTTCATGCCAACAGCAACAGAAGACTGTGCATGCATTGCCTACAAAAGAGAATAAACATTATTAAAATCATAATACAAATTCAAATTTAAGCAAGTTTTATGAAAAATAATCTAAAATGTATGCCCCAGCAGAGAAAAAGCAAGGCGTACTTGTGTATGAGTTGCTATGCCTCTCATTTGAGCCCGACTACCCTGCAATTTAGCTATTTGCTGCCTAAGCCTAATAAGTTGCCGGGCTAGAATTTTAGTTGCAGCCTGTAGAGTGCATATGGAAAATGACCAAAACAGAGAAAAAGAATGAAAGAGGATAACAAAAGGTATATTAGACAGGTTCAAGGGAAATGAATTGGACTAATGGATGATAGTTATGTCAAATGAGAAAAAAGCTAACGCCGCCTTGGACAGACAAATGAAATAAACTAAGATTCAAAAAGTACCTCATTTCCTGTTTTAGCAGTTTTTTTAATTTCAGCAACAAGCTTTTTTTCCTGCCATCACAATAAATCAGATTAGATCAGACAGCAATTAACCTAAAAAAGGACACTGACCGGAGCTTTTGACATACTTCTAGTTGCAGAGCCCCAATTTCCTTCTCTATCCCTGAAGCAAGATAAAAAAAGATATAGCAAGTTTCAGTACCAAACCACTCCACCCTAGAAATCTGACAATTTAGTAATGCAAAAAATGATCTATAGAAAAACAGAGACTGCAGTGCATCGCTTCAACACATGTCTAACCATAGTGATACTGATCCTACTAGCTATGCAAGGCATCCAACCCAACAATATCCAAACCCATTATTCCATTTCACAAGTATTTTCTAGACAGCCATCAAGCATGAGAACGTTCATTTCATCAGACCATAAAAACCCCAGAACATGATTACACCAAAATATGCATGCTAACGTTAATTCAAATGCTGAAATCCAAATTCTGCAAAAGAATCACCTCTTGTGGCATGCGCCATATCTCTCTTACTCTCCCGAAGAGCCTCTGCAACACAAAAACAAACAGAAAAACAAATTAAAAACCCAGATTACCATGCTTTGATGGGTCAACCCCAAATTGTAAGAACGAAAAAAACAACGAAATCATTCCAAGGGAAAAATCAGATAACAAAAACCATAAACCAATGAAAAGATTGAAAATTTTGCACTGAATCAAACGATTAAGAGGATGAAGTATAGAGGGATTTGATGAATTGGTACCTTTGGGATTGGGTTTCTTACTGAAGACGTTCATTCTCTTCCTGGGTTTTGGAGGCTGATTGACCTTCAGCACTGTAGACTTTGATTTCTTAACGGGGTTGAAGGTAGGAAGTAATCAACAAGGAACTTCTCGGAAGTGACAGACGATCAGAGGCTTCAACGTAAACATCAGAAAATTATTTATTTTTAAAAAATATTTTATAATCTAAATTATTTTAAATTATAAAATAAAAATGTTTAAAGGGCTATTCCCCCATAAGCTTCCTACTTTAACGTCCCAAATAAGTTCGAAACCAGCGCATTCTTTTATTTTGAATTAAATTCAATAAATAATTTATTAATTATATTATTTATTTTAATTTAATTTAAAAATATATTTTTAAATAGTTTATAAACTGTTAATTTTATTTTAAAAAGATTTACCTAACAAACATTTCATTTAACTGACTAAGGAAATTATTTTTAACTGTTGATGAGCTACCTCTAAAATTTTGAAAATTATTAAATTTAGTATATATATTTTTGTTTTATATAATATTTTATTTTTAAAATTTAAATTTTATGTGAAATGTAATAATTAATTAAGATAATAATTTTAATTTACATTGATCAAGATTCTAA